TGCGGGATCTAATGGCGATCCCGCCACGCTTGCTCTGCCCACGCCCGTTCCCCCTTCCCCGGGATGGCCGAGCCCCTTCCACGAATCGCGACTACTGCATCCCCCTTCCACCTCGATGACCATCGTCGGCCTGACTGGCATCTTTGCCGGGCATCTCGACCAGCAGAGGCTCGCCTGATCGGCATCACGGCGCTCGTGCAGGCCAGTAGTCCTCACCGCGCCCCTTCTCTCCCTCTGGCACAGTCCGCCTCCTCCTCGCCACCGGAGCTCCGCTCGCAACCGCCCCACCCGCGGCCGGGAGGACCGCGCCGCCATCATCCCTTCCGCGCGCCCCGTTAGGCAATGAACGACGCGTCGCCGTGCCTGACTACTGCGGCCAGGCAATGAACGATGCGTCGCCGTGCGTGACTACTGCGGCCAGGCAATGAACGATGCGTCGCCGTGCCTGACTACTGCGGCCAGGCAATGACCGACGTGTCGCCGTGCCTGACTACTGCGGCCAGGCAATGACCGACGTGTCGCCGTGCGTGCCTGACTACTGCGGCCAGGCAATGACCGACGTGTCGCCGTGCCTGACTACTGCGGCCAGGCAATGACCGACGTGTCGCCGTGCCTGAGTACTGCGGCCAGGCAATGACCGATGTGTCGCCGTGCCTGACTACTGCGGCCAGGCAATGACCGACGTGTCGCCGTGCGTGCCTGACTACTGCGGCCAGGCAATGAACGATGTGTCGCCGTGCCTGACTACTGCGGCCAGGCAATGACCGACGTGTCGCCGTGCCTGCCTGACTACTGCGGCCAGGCAATGACCGACGTGTCGCCGTGCGTGCCTGACTACTGCGGCCAGGCGATGACCGACGTGTCGTAGTGCCTGACTACTGCGGCCAGGCAATGACCGACGTGTCGCCGTGCGTGCCTGACTACCGCGGCCAGGCAATGACCGACGTGTCGCCGTGCCTGACTACTGCGGCCAGGCAATGACCGACGTGTCGCCGTGACTGACTACTGCGGCCAGGCGATGACCGACGTGTCGCCGTGACTGACTACTGCGGCCAGGCGATGACCGACGTGTCGCCGTGACTGACTACTGCGGCCAGACAATGACCGACGTGTCGCCGTGCCTGAGTACTGCGGCCAGGCAATGACCGACGTGTCGCCGTGCGTGCCTGACTACTGCGGCCAGGCAA